ACTGCATCCTCGGCAAGGAAGGAAGTCTCAACGCCATCTCGGACCGTTAGGAAAGGTGAGCAAACCTGGAGAAGAATGAATAATCCCTAAGCTGGGATCGTCCCCAGTGCAAAAAAGTTCCACCATCTTCGGGTCGTGTTGAACTTCCGCCTGGAGACACAGTCGTGACGTCATTTGTAAAAGGAATGAAGAATCAAGTTTTTGTAAGGCTGGATTAGAAGAGGATGTGGATGGATTTCTCCGTCGAATCGTTTTTAATAAAGCAGGGCTACTGCACGGAAAGGTACGGATCTTCCGTAAAAAGTTTCTAAAACTTGAGAATTTCGTGATAAATACTAGCCAAGTACCCTTCAGGGCACGCGATTTCCTCACACAATCCGTATTGTATGTATTAAGTTCCCGGTTCGATTCCTCGTGTTTTTCGGTTTATTTCTTTGTCATTTCATCATTCACTGGAAAAAAACACATTTTATCTAGAGTCCAGACTCTTGAAAACATTGACAAGAAAAAATACTCTCGATTCAATCAGATTTAAGCTTAAATCAAATTAATTAAATGAATCGCCAAAAAAAAAACGGATGATTGGGAAAGTAAGGAAAAAGCAAAGGAATTTGAATGACAGGGTACCAGTAGATACCCTGAGCTGATCAACTGGGCTCGACCATGATTGTAGGCGCGTTTTTTTTAACCATGCTCAAACAAATGAACGTATTCATTAAAACTTCTGATCCATAAACTGAAGTAAAATCAACTCGTGTCTTTCACTCGATTTCTGAAATCTTCGTAGCGTGGCATAACACTGATTCTATGTTTTTTTGTGGCTGTTGAGTATGGTACACGAGGAAAATACGTATCAAATGTTCGTTCAACACGTCATTCAACAGCCAAGGAAGCCAATCAGTTTCCACCTGCCAGCAGGGTTCGTTCGAACCCGAGTTGAGTCAGCATTCCCGAAGCGCCATTTTCCGAAAAGGTTAATCGATTCCATCAATCCGAGGTTGTTCCCCCGATGACCCGGCGTTCCGTATTCCCTCCGTCGATCGGACGCCCGAAAAAAGCAACCCGTCGTCGGCGGTCCTATCGGGTCGGCCGATCGGAGGCACGGGATTGGCCGAGCCGGCCGCGCGACAGGACCGTTTCGGATTTACGCTCTGTCATTAGGCTCATAAAGGGGCATAAATCCTTGGTTTACGACCGTTGTCGACGGTGCGAGACTCGGCCGGCCCGATCTGGATTTTTAACGTCGCGGAAATGATTTTTGATGTCGCGAACTGGCAACGGTGTTTGCGGCACGTTGCTCGCGTCGAGCTGCCCACGGGCACCGACTGGTGGGCGGGTTGAAATTTCGTGTTTTCTGCTGTGCGGTTGGGTCAAAAATGTTGAAAATTCATCAGAAAGTGACAGGTTTTGGAGATTTGCATCAGTCTTCATTGTACCAAAATTTGCAATATGAGATTACTATTTTTGACTTAAATCAGAAACATCATTTTATCAGCCGCCTGCGGGCCCGGATGAGTAGGCGGGTTGAAATTTCGTATTTCTTGTTTCTGCCAAAATGATAATTGCGAAAATCTGGCCGAAAAAGGTTTGCATCACTGCCAATGGTTTTAAATTTCTCATTAGGAGATCCCTCTTTGTGACTCATTAGCTTAGGCGCAGATCGGCTTAGTTCATGTAAGCTTTTCTCTGGAAGGTATTATTATTTAGGCAGAATTGAAGCCGTGATTCACATTACTTGAACGTTCGGACGTCCTTAGAAATTCTTAGTGAATATAATGCATATATTATTCCGAACTAAAATTTAGGAAACTTCATCTGAAGAAAAATGTATTACCTCGTGTTGAAACTCAGCAACAGATATGCGAACGTATGAAATTCTTGGAAGCTAATTCAATTTTCAATGTTATGAACCGATCATATTACCATTTTGGGGCATTTATAAGTTACTCGTACTTTACCAATGCACGGATCATTGATCTAAACCTCATACCTATTTTTTTAGTTGGAACATTTAGAGTCGATGTGGTGAGTTTAAACAGCCGTTGCACAATTTCCCACCCCATTCAAGTTCTCCATTTTATGAGAATTGAAGCCGGCATACGCGGTGTCACGAAAGATGGGGAGGTCAGGCATTGAACATAAGTCTACGCCAGTAGCGCGGAAGTTTTTGCGCTCAGAGGCTGAACGGAGGGTTGATCTTCGTCAGCGCTGTGAACGCTTCGTTCCGAAACGCCTTCAATACCTCCGCGTAGCAACAAGCGCAACGCCACTTCTCTGAACAGAGAACACCGCGCAAGTCAAGCTTCAAGCTACTAGATTGCATCTCAGTGCCAGCGCCTCGTAAGATTTTCTCGAACCAAGCGCCCCCCCCCCCATCCTCTTTAATAAAATTTCTAGTATGAGAATTTGCAACCTTAAATTTACCAGATATCTATCTCCCTCCTCGACGTTTATTATTATTTTCTTCTTTTTTGCAATTTCATTTCTTACTTTGCGGTTTCTCGTGTTTTTCTTTCATCGATCTTTCCTTTCGGTTCGTCAAAAAATTCAGATCATGTTCCCCTAAAGAAACATGCACATCTTACCGTGTAGTGTGTCTATGTTTTGCGTTCAAAATAAAGGAGTTTGAAATTGTGGATAAGGAAATGTTTTCCGTCAAGAAGTTTCTACGACTGATGCAAAGGATTTTAGAGTACAAACGCGGACAGAAATCCACCAACACAAATATGACGTTAATAAATATGGTTTTTATTTTAAAATTCAATTTTTAGTGAAAAATTCTGTCGGCGCATCGACCTGATGCCCGAGAATGGGTACTCCAAAATTGAGATTAAATCGTACATAATTAAAAAAAGAAAAATGAAATTAATATGAAATAATCATAAAATGTAAATCCAACCAACGAATACATGCATCGCAGGAACATCCTATAATCAGAAAAACATCTTGAGAAAAGATCGTGGAGCGAAATCTAGGGTCATAAAATCATCTCAACACTTGTGACGTAAGGCGCACAAAAACGAGACCCTTCCGAGCCCTATTTTTTAAACGTGTCAAACCGAGTTAAAGGTTCCGAGGGCTCTCCCAGAAAAGGCCAGACAGCGGGTTGCCCAAAGGCAGCTGAAACAAAAGGACGATTTCGCCGTGAGAGAACGCTCATCAAACGGTGAAAACATTGGTCTAAGTGGGTCGCTGGTCCCTCGTCTCCGAAAAAAACCCTTTTCTCCTTTTGTTTAAAGCGGGATTTGCGCTGTAATACACCAAACCGGCAACCAGGCTCTCCACAAGGGTGTCCTACCCGGAGCCGAGGGCCGTAGTGAGGAATAAAAGAGACATTTTCGGGCCCGACCGTACCTGAATGAAAGCATGGAAATAAAGCAATAAAAATTAAGGAGAATTTTTATGCTTTTACAACTTGGCTGCGAACGCATTCTCGCTGTACGCTCGCAGTAGCCTAGGTCAGTGCCGTGCTTAAAATAGATTAAAAAACAGCAACATCTTTTTTTTCTTTTTTTTTATTGATCAATCGATTTTTGCTAAGTATTGTATCTCGATGTAGGAGCTAATCTCATCGTTTCGCGAGGCGGTGAATATTTTCGAACATGACGAGGCCCCTGGCCGGGCGGTGTGTTATGATAGTCGGGGATTAGCTTTGAGCGCGTGGTTCCGGCGGACTCCGCTCGCGGCAGCGGCGCGCCACTGTTCCCCGCATTAGCGGAGGTTTAAGTTATCATCCGGCGGCAGTACATGAATCGACCCGAATCTGTGCGGACCCGCGCGCTTCGATCATGTTGCCGCTGGCGTGAGAGCGACGTAAACAAAACGAGATTTTTGGATTACCGATTTTCGGAAATTTTTCCCCGCGAAAAAAAATTAAAATTGTGCGGCGTATATTTTGGAAACCAGTCTGCGGTGTTTTCCGTCCGGAGTAGAATCTGTGTCTCGCGCGCGTTTTGTCTTCACCCGTTTTTGTTTATCCTTTTTTTTTTTGTGCGTGGCCTTTTTGGCCCTTTTTCGACCCGGTGCGATTTTCGGACTTTCTAATTTCTCGGCCTTTTGTTTGATTGTGCCCGCGTCGGCGTACCCTTTCGCTTCGACCGGCCACCCTTCTCCGTTCCGGCCCGAATAAACTTGTTTGTAAACATTTTCATTGTGTGCGGTTGAATATTCAAATAACAGTTTCGGAGATGGAAATGCGTTTCGTTTCAGTGACCTAATTGTGATTTTTTTTTTTTCGACTGGCCTCATTTTCTCTTCGGAGAAATTCCTCAGCTGGGATGCGTATGCACCCTCCGAGCAATAAAACCATTCCGCGTTGGAGACTCGAAACGGTCCGGCGTTGAATGAATAAAGAAGTGATTGCCACCCATTGTTCTGGAATTTTAAAAACCACCACCATGCCCCACATACAATGGCCCAAACTGTTCGGTGCATCGCGTTCGAACCGTGTCCGCCAGACGAGAGAAATATTTTAAAACACCCTCGATTTGCATAAATTATAATTTTTAAGTGCTGTGATACTAATTTATTTAATTCAATTCGTCACGATAGATTTATTACAAAAAGAAGGAAATATTTTCGAACGTAATATCGTACCAAATTAAAAATTGCCAAAATTAGTGTTTAAGGTGTATGATTATTTATTTTTTTCCGATGGATTTTTGAATGGGTACCAGTGCCAATAGCCATTATAGCTTGTGCATTTGATGTGTGAGCTTTTGAAGCTGTCTAACATATTCGCCTTTGTTTCTGTTCTGTTTCCTGTCCTGTCTCCCGTTCCTGGTATCGTTGTGTGTGTGCATTTGGGCCGGCTCTCGGACACTCGGACGGCCTCGACCCGCGGTTTCGCCGCTCGGTGACGCTCGGCCATCCTCGGGCACCTCCGCTCGGTCCACGTGGGACCGGTGTCGTCCGGCCGCCTCCCGACTCCAAAATTATCATCATCGGGGACCTTGGGGATTGTGGGCCGGCTGGGTTCGACCATGGCGGCGCCGAGCCAGCCTGCACGCCCGGTCAAGGAAGCAGCACCGGGGTAGCCTGGTGGAACATGATGAACAGTGGGCCCCTGTACGAGGAGAACCCCCCCGTCCACATCAAGACCTCGCCGTCGTCGACCCCCGTGACGACCTCCAACTCCTCGACGGCCTCCACGTCGCCGTCCTCCGTCACCTCCAACTCGGGGCCCCTCCACATCCCGGCCAAGCGGCTCGTCGGCTACGGCGACTGCGAGTCCGGGGTCATCCGCCACCACCACGGCTCCCACGGCTGGAACTACTCCCCGGCCGAGCATCCCCATCCCGGCTCGGGCACCTTCGACGGCTACAACAATGCTCCCACCTACTACAACCTCGCCGGCGACCCCGCCGCCCGGGACTCCCGCAAGGCCACGGCGCTGACCTTCTGGTCGCCGGCCGCCTCGACGCCCGACTACAAGTACGGCGGCCCGGGGACGACGCCCGGCACCTCGGCCGCCGAGCAGGCCTTCCCGCAGACCTGGTGCAACTACTCGCCCTACTCCACCTCGGCGCGGCACCACCCGCACGGCGAGCACCCCCAGTCCATGTCCTATCTCACCCCGCCCGATGACAGGAATAGGGTCTCGTCCATGGTCGAGAGCGGGCACTACGACTCCTACCTCTCCAGGAGTTACCCACCGCCTGACTCCGTACCTACCTCTGTGCCCTACCCGCCTCCAGGTATGTCATACTTTCACTATTTTGTTTTAGTCTAAGCTCCGGGCTGACCGTTAAAGTTGGTCGACAAAGTGACAGACCAAGAGGGGGAAAACGGATATGGAGGGATCCTATTGGTGGAAACGGGTGGTTGCGATGGACTAAAGAGACTAACTACTGGCAACCCACGAGAGACCGTTCAATTAGTCCATTCTCTTCTCCCTCAGTCTATAGGAACTATCCATTTCAACCAATAGGATCGCTCCACACTCTTCATGTCTTCTTTGTCCATCGCTTTGTCTATCAATTTCAATAATCAGCCCGCTGTCAGGGAATTGGAGAAGAGAAATTGTGCTCTGAGATGTTTTCTAGTGCATGCCTTGGCAAGAGCCATTTCAGTGGCAATGCAGTATTGATGAGGAGCACTGGAGTTTTTTTTTAGAGTAAGCAAAACCTTCATTGCAATCAGAGCTCTCGTCAAATTTCATGGCCGAAGTCAGAGTGAGACCAAAGATACGGCATATCAATCGTTAAATTGCTTCAAATGATGAAACGAAGGCGGTAGGTCATCTGTCAATAATTAAATACGACCGAAAAATCTGACGAAAACTGCACCAAAGTGATAGTAACTGCAGGTATATTTGCACGCTCGGTTTGATACTCTCGGACAACGGAGAGGTGAAAGAGTTTTTCTCATAAGATTCATTGATCCTCTATTAGCTCACGAGGTAAATACGGACTTCGCTTATCCAAATTTAGATGAACATGGATGTTTATCGAAAAAATTGACTCGAAGCACTCCACAGTAGTTGAGAATTAGATTGTGGAGTGTTTTATGCTGCTTGTGGTATACTCTCGTAGTCAGTTCCGTCGCGATTTCTCATTAAAGCTTCTGTCTCACCTCAAAATTGAGAGAAAACTACTTGAAATAGCATGAAAATCCGCGTAAGGAACCCGAATCTACTGGTATCCCAACAGTATGCAGCAGAAAGGTTGGGAGGGATGTCAATGCTACATTTTCAACTGATCCTGCAAGTTGGATGCCCTTCTCCTCACGTCCTGCATAATTTTTTTGCGATCTCGATTTTTCAACGAAACCGGCTACACGAAGAAAACCAGAAATGGGCGGTGTTGAATGCGATACCACCGTGCTAAGGAAGAAAGTCGTATGAACCTTCAGACACTGCAAATTTCATTTGGTAAAAAACAATTGAATATTTTTCCTCTTGTTATTCAGACGATTTTGCTCGGTATTGAGTCTTAAATATCCAAAAATTTCAAGGGAGAATATGATATTATTTCCGTCAAAAATATATGTCATATCCGGGAAAATTTGGCAGCTCCCGAATGCTCATACGGCGTTCTTCCTTAGCACGGCGGAATAGGGAAAACAGCTACTTCGAATGGACCCCCGCCCGCGTATGAGCCCTGTCCAAGCAGGGCTCACGAGCGCCGGGTCATTACATCTCGGAGCGAGGCTCGAAGGGTTGGTGAGACGCCGCACATCGCGAGTCGTTTTTTATCGGTCGAGCGATTGCAGCGAGGCAAGAATAGCCAGCGAGGACGTTGTTTCAAAGGATCCAAGCTCCACTAACTGTCCTCGGACTGTCTCGTAAAGTCCCGGGTTTGTTGCCGAGGTGTCCCTTTTTCTCGAAGTCTGAGTGACACGCATCAAACGCATCCAATGGGTCGCTCCCCCCTTCCCCCTGCCCCCGCCGCGGTGGTGCGCCGCGGGATGGTCAAACCGAAGGTAGCGCACCAGGTGGGCATGCGGTCGGCCGATTGGGTCCGGCCGTGTTGTCGATTTTGGAAGAAGTCCGACTGGAATTTCACATTCACGCCCTTTCCTTGTCTTTAGTTTGTTTGTTTTTGACGTACTTTCTCCTTCCTCTGCTACATTTCGCTATTTCCCCCTTTTTTTTGCGTGGGGGAACTCTTTAGGGCATATCAGCGTTTCCAAAGCGAGAGAACGTAACAGTACTTAGAATTTTGCTATTAGGAACGACAATTTCTAGCTCAAAATAGAAGCAACGTATGCAGCGTTTATTTTCCTATGGACATCAGTGTTTTTATCGATGAGCCAGAAATTGTAGTTCCTAATTGAGGCGTTGGGTGCAGAGAGGACATTTCTTGGTTGCGGTGTTTCAGAATCTCCATCGGTAATTTATATTTTAGAGGGGTAACTATTGGGTGAATTTTCTGAAATTTTTCATTTTCAGCATTGTAAAACCCTAAAGAAAATTCAGTAAAAGTTTCAATGAATTCCATGCATTTGCTTGAATTATAATGGATGAAACGTTTGCAAATATTCTGAGACACCGCAACCAAGGAATACCCTGTCGGCACCCAGTGCTGTAATTGCAAAATAAAGTCCATCTCCTTGCTGCAATTTTTTTTTTTTTTTTTTTCAAATAGTACTTTTACCAAGCAGTCAGGCATTTTAACTGGTTTCAATGTTTTTACTTGTATCCATCCATGGAAGTCACGATGATTTTGGAAGGAAATGGCTTGATTACACCACCATAAGAAATTTAAGAATTGAAGTCGTTCCGAGCACGTCCTCAGTTTCCTGAGGACGGATGTGTTTTTTTGGGAAGTGCGAATGCTGGTATGTTTAGTAACTATATCAATCCGAACATCATTAGTCTTTTTTGGCAGCATAGCTTCTATGCACGACTTGCTTTTCTTCGCTGTTACGACTTTTGAAACCTCAGTTCTGCAATAAAAAGCCTAATTTTAGCATACCTCTAATTGAAACATACTGCTTCATGATACTTTCTAAGGTAGGATAAGTCAACCACAACTTGGCAACTCCGCCCATATCTGAACCCATGCACCAGTTCAAATGGCTTTTACCTTTCCTTTCCTGAATGCCAAGTTTGGGGTACCTGGTTCGTCCTGCAGGTTATAGTGTAAAATAACCCCAAAATTGGGGTCGTTTGATGATGATTTATCGCAACCCTCTCAACTTGATGTTTTCTTCAACTGGCGCGGATTTTTCATTTTTTTTTAAAATTCAGATGATCATTTTTATCCTTCTAAATCCTTCTATCATTTTAAATAGCGAATTCCATTTTGGACTAATTTTAAGTAGCTTAGGTTTTCTTTTCGTTGTGGCCAGCTTGGAAAGTGTGTCTTTCCGGTGTGATTTGCGCGGCGCCCACAAATTTTTGATTCTAGTTCTCGGGTCAAGCTTTATCATTACTTTTCGTGTTAAATTTTTCAATCACCAACCAAAGTCTCATTCTGAAAGAAGATTTATCAATCTGATGTGAATTTTGCGAAATTCGACAAGTACTCAGTTTATCGGATTGAAGAAAGTTAAATGTGCTTCATTTGAAAGTATCGTGGACACAAGACAGTACGGTTCTCGTCTCATAGACAAAAACCACTGAACGGGCTTCGAATGAGGAAAACAACGCAGACTTGCTGCTGATAATACGAGTATGCTTGTTCTGAGCAAGTAGTGCTTCCCATTAACACGTTATTTGATAAGTCCGCCCAACAGTTGCTTGGCGTGCTTTGCGATAAATCGATTGATCTACCGCTTAAACCTATGGAAAAGGATCGATGAACCAGGTGTTCGCAACGAACACCAAAATACTCGATTCTTTACCGTAGCTTCAAATGGGGGAAATATCGAGAAACGATCATTCACGCTTCGCCACTGTCTGCAAAATGGTTTTTGAACGATTAGGAACCACCATTTCTGGCTCACCCGTAATCACTTAACTGCACAGAAAAACGAATCGCGCATATGTCGCTTTTACAATGCGCCTCAAATTGTGGATCTTAATTGCAAGATGCAGTCTAGAAGAGCCACCATCATTAATTGAAACTTCGTTGCCCCTGAGAGTAGACAAGCTTTGACTGAAACTTCCAGACCTCTGCCTGAGCAAGTCGTTTTCTTATGTTTGGTCGTTGGCGGTGGCGAGATGTGAATGATCGATTATCATTGTTTCCCCATTTGAAGCCGTGATAAAGAATCGATTATCAGAGTGTTCGTTGCGAACATCCTGTTCATCGATCATTTTCCACAGGTTTAAATGGCAGTTCAATCGATGCATAGGAAAGCAAGCCACGTCTCTGGTAGTTGGCGCTTGTCTCCGATCCGCGGAAACTGGGAAATATTCCCGGTAGGCTGTGAGATTAATAAATCGCTATTACGAAGGGCAAAAAAAGTGGTGTGAAATAGATCCTTTATCCGGATCCGCTTCACCGGAGGTACGGTATAGGGGTGAGACGGGGAGATCAATGGGAATCAGGTGAGATTATAATAGAAGGAGCCCGCTCTCCCTTTTCGCCGCCCCTCTTTTATGTCCTATTTCCGACTTCTTTCCGCGTGTGCTTCGAGTTTCTCCGACTCGCCACCAGGGGCGCTGCTCTCTCTCGTTTCTTCTCGCGCCGCTTCCCGTTTGGCGCGTGGCGGCTGTTCCCATGCTGTTTCTATACCTTCTTATGTATTTCTTCTATATTTCGTCGCCCCTCTGACGTAATAGCGTATATCAATTTTCTTGTGAGCCCCGGTCTGCCCATATCTATGTGCTTTCTGAGGCTCATGTGGAAATAGAGGTATGCCTTCACGTCAGAAGGTTGGCGATTTGACGGAGGGTGATACTCAGCGGTGGGTCACATTGCAAAACTCTTCCACACACGGACCTGGTTTCGTTCATGTAATCCAACATTTATGATTTTTCGTTCTTCCGAAAGAAAGAAAATTGAGGTGGCATTGTATGTTCCAGGTGAAAAAGGCGCGATACTCAAAATGCGGAGTTCCAGTTTCTCGTCATGCAAAACTTTTCAACGCACTGAAACAATCATATAAGTATCCGTCATTTCCCGATGGAATGAATGGAGCATGAGAAAACACTGAAACATTGTATTCTTCACATCATGTTTTTCGTAGGACCGTATAGTACTATGCTCGTCATGCCGTCTCCTTGTTTTGAATTCTGAAGAATATCTCTTCATGACCTTTAGATATCGAACTAATTCTGAGTTCACTGGAAAAAAAACACATTGGG